CTTGTGATCTCTCTCTCTCTCTCTCTGTCAAATAAATAAAATCTTTAAAAAAAAAAGATGTGGTGTGTATGTATGTGTATATATATTCATCAAAAAAATGAAATCCTGCCATTTTATTTTTTTTTTAAGATTTTATTTATTTCACAGAGAAAGAGATAGCAAGAGAGGGAACACAAGCAGGGGGGAGGAGAGGGAGAAGCAGGCCTCCTGCCATTCAGGGAGCCTGATGCAGGGCCCGATCCCAGGACCCCGGGATCATGACCTGAGCCAAAGGCAGATGCTCAACGACTGAGCCACCCAGGCACCCCAAATCCTGCCATTTTCAATGATGTGGATGGAACTAGGGGGTATTATGCTAGGTGAAATAAGTCAATCAGAAAAAGACAATTATCACTATGATCTCACCAATATGTGGAATTTAAGAAACAAGAGAGGATCATAGGGGAAAAGAGTAAAAAGTAAAACAAGAAGGAACCAGAGAGGGAGACAAACCATAAGAGACTCTTAATCATAGGAAATAAACTGAGGGTTGCTGGAGAGGAGGAGGGTGGAGGGATGGGGTAACTGGGTGATAGATATTAAGGAGGGCATGTGATGTAATATCACTGGGTATTATATAAGACTGATGAATCACAGGCGTGTACCTCTGAAACCAATAATACATTATATGTTAATTAATTGAATTTAAATAAAAAATGTTAAAAAAGATAAAAAGCTTTTGCACAGCAAAGGAAACAATCAACAAAACTAAAAGAGAACCTACTGAATGGGACAAGATATTTGCAAATGACATCTGACAAAGGGTTAGTATCCAATAGATAGAAAGAACTTATAAAATTCAACACCCCAAAAATGAATCATCCAATTAAAAAATGGGCAGAAGACCTGATAGATATTTTTCCAAAGAAGACATCCAGATGGCCAACAGACACATGAAAAGATGCTCATCATCACTGATCATCAAGGAAATGCGAATCAAAACTACAATGAGATATCACCTCATACTTGTCAGAATGGTTAACATCAACAACACAAGAAACAAGTGTTGGTGAGGATGCGGAGAAAGGGGAACGCTTTTGCACTGGGTGGGAATGCAAACTGGTGCAGCCACTCTGGAAAACAGTATGCAGGTTCCTCAAAAAATAAAAATAGAGGGGCGCCTGGGTGGCTCAGTCGTTAAGTGTCTGCCTTCGGCTCAGGTCATGATCCCAGGGTCCTGGGATCGAGCCCCGCGTCGGGCTCCCTGCTCGGTGGGGAGCCTGCTTCTCCCTCTGCCACTCCCCCTGCTTGTGTTCCCTCTCTCGCTGTGTCTCTCTCTGTCAAATAAATAAATAAAATCTTTAATAAAAAATAAAAAAATAAAAAAATAAAAATAGAGCTACCCTATGACCCAGCAATTGCACTACTAGGTATTTACCCCAAAGATACAGATGTAGTGAAAAGAAGGGGCACCAGCACCCCAATGTTTATAGCAGCAATGTCCACAATAGCCAAACTATGGAAAGAGCCCAGATGTTCATCGACAGATGAATGGATAAAGAAGATGTGGAGTGTGGGGGATGGTGAACTAGGTGATGGGGATGAAGGAATGCACTTGTGATGAGCACTGGGGGATGTATGGAAGTGTTGAATCACTATATTGTACATCTGAGACTAATATAACACTGTATGTTAACTGACCGAATTTAATTACTTAAAGTAACTAAATAAATAAGAACTGAAAAAGAAGTTTGTATCTTGATAATCTGTAATTTATTTTATTTTGTTCAAGGTACATTGTCTTCAAATGTCTTACAAATTTTTTGTACTAAAAAAAATGTCAGTCCAGGAGATTTTTGCTAGCTTGTTAGTTTGAGCTAAGTAGGTCTGTCCACTATTACATATAAATAATAGATATTACTATTATTATTTTAAAGATTTTATTTCAGAGAGAGAGAGAGGGATTGAGAGAACAAGTGGGAGGAGGGGCAGAGGGAGAAGCAGACTCCCCGTGGAGCAGGGAGCCCAACACGGGACTCGATCCCAGGACCCTGGGATCATGACCTGAGCTGAAGGCAGACGCTTAACTGAATGAACCACCCAGGCACCTGATAATAATATTATTAAATGTTTATAATAAATAAGTGAAAATCTATGAAGAAGAAAAAAAATCTCAAGTGCTTAAAAAATAGACATCAAAACCAGAGTGATAAGCTACAGATGATAATCCAGTTGACCATGAGAATTTCAGGCCCAAATATATGCCAAAGGACTGCTTACTGGAGTTTTAACTCACATATTTTATAAGGAGATGTGGTATCTAAATAATACTGCAATAAACATAGGGGTGCATGTATCTTTTCAAATTAGTGTTTTCATTTTTCATTTCATTTGGGTAGATATTCAATAGTGGAATTACTGGATCATATGGTATTTTAATTTAAAAATTTTTTAAAAATTTTTTGAGGAAACTCCACACTGTTTTTCACAGTGGCTGTACCAATTTACATTCCCACCAATAGTTTATGTGGGTTCCTTTTTCTCCACATCCTCACCAACACCTGTTATTTCTCATCTTTTTTATTTAGCCCTTCTAACAGGTGTAAGATGATATCTTATTTGGGTTTTGATTTGCATTTTCCTGATGCTTAGTGATGTTGAGCATCTTTTCATGTGTCTGTTGGCTTTCTGGAGGTCTATTCTTTGAATAAAAAAAAGTGGTGTCTCAATGCTGTTTTTTTTATTTTATTTTCAGCACTTCCGTACAACCCCCGGTGCTCATCAGGGCAAGTGCCCTTCTTAATCCCCATCCCCTAGTTCACCTATCCTCCCACCTACCTCCCCTCTGGTAACCATCAGGGTGTTCATAGTTAAGAGTCTTTGTCTTGGTTTGCCTCTCTCTCTTTTTTCCTTTGCTTGTTTGTTTTGTTTCTTAAATTCCACATATGAGTGAAATCATATGGTATGTGTCTCTCTGTGTCAAATAAATAAATAAAATCTTTAAAAAAACACAAAAAACACAAAAACCAAACTCATAAAGGTATAGCCCAATACAAGCAGGGGGAGTGGGAGAAGGAGAAGCAGGCTTCCTGCCGAGCAGGGAGCCCGATGAGGGGCTTGATCCCAGGACCCCAGAATCATGACCTGAGCCGAAGGCAGACGCTTAACTGGCTGAGCCACCCAGGCATCCCTACATATGACTATTTAAAGCAAAAATTATAGCATTTTCTTGTGTGTACTGTAAAGCATAGAGATGTAATACATATGGAAATTGAGGTAACACTTACCTTTTGGCAATCTCCCTGAGTGCAAAGGACTGACATCAGTGATTCCATGAGGGTAGATGTTATAAGGCCGGCTTGCTTGATTCTTAAATATAATCTGAAAGTATAAATGAAATACAAGATCAAGTCCTAAAACAACTAGGATCAACAGGAAAAGTGTGGCCTATCTCCAGAAAACAAAAGCTGTCTTATATCCATGTTATAGGGGTTTGAGCCTAGATAAAGCTCAAAATATTTGTTCTTTCCATAAAATTGCTCAGACAGCTACTTAGGTTTTTTTTTTTTACTAAAGGCCCCTTTCCATTTCTTTAAAGTTATTTCAATCGTTTCAGAAGTATTCCTTGCACCTTGTCACACTAAT